TTGTCTCCCCTTCACCCTTCAGTCGCCCTCTTTGGCCCCTAGCATGCATCAACCACCGTGCTCCTTGGAGCCTCAGGCCCCGCCCCCCGACGTGTTGTGCCCTCCGCCAGGGTGTCCAGGCACCCTTCCGTGGTTTATCCCCACAGCTGCTCGCTGGGTGTGGGATCCTATCAGCCTTCCCAGACAGAATCTCCCAACGTCCTGGGTGTGTTCTCTCAGCCCCGTGCCCCGTACCCCTGGCGGCAACTGCGCCATCACAATTATTTCTGTTGAATGCACCACTGGCTTCCCCACCCCATTCGCTGGGTCTCAGGGCCCAGCGCTGCCCTCCGCCCCTCCCCAGGTTACTATCGCATCGCAGCCTTCGGCCACCACTCCTACAGCATGCGGGGGAGGCCGACGTGCTCTACGACTGCCTGCCCCTGTTACCACTCCGCAGGTATGGGGGGCGAGGGGCGGGGGACCCCTCAGAGCCGACTCCTGCAGGGAACATCATGGGCGTGGGGCTGGGGACCCTCATGGAGCCGCCTCCGCAGGGAACATCATGGGCGTCGGGCAGTGTATCATCTATGGACTGACGGTCATCCTCCGCAAAGAAGTTCTCCGCCAGCCGCTTCGGGATGACTGCGTCAAGTACAAACTGCACGGTGAGCCCCGCCAACCGCCCAGCCCCCCTCACCCTGAGGCTCCGCCCCTCACCAGCAGCCCACCCCCACCCCCAGGCCCGCCCTCGCCTGCGCTCCGCCCCTCTCACCAGCAGCCACCCCCTCCGCCAGGCCCGCCCTCACCCTGAGGCTCCGCCCCTCTCACCCAGCAGTCCACCCCACCGCCCAGGCCCCGCCCTCGCCTCAGCTCCGCCCCTCACGCTCAGCCCTTCCCCCACCGAGGCCCCGCCCTTCACGCTCAGACCCCGCCCCTCACGCTGAGCTGTCCATCCCCGCGCCAGGCCCCACCTCATGTCAGCCCCACCCATCAGGTCTACCTACCCTCCCCCCAGGCCCGCCCCTTCCCATCCAATTTTCACCTCCAGCCCTGCTCTGTGTCTTTCTGCCGGATGTTTGGAATTAATTAGGATAAGGATGGCGAAGACAGCCAGGGTCCCTTGAGTGCCCGCCGGGTCCAGTTCAGGCCTAAAGCCTGGACGTGTACTCACTGGAATCTCAGACCTGCTCGGGAGTGGCCAACAGCATCACGCACTTGTATTTTTATTATCCTGTGCTAGTTGCGCAGGGGTTACATTGTGACATTTACGTATCCCCTGCACTGTTCTCCCTCTTCCAACACCCTCCTCCCCATCGCACACATTTGCGACAGGGAAACTGAGGCTCATAGTACAGCTGGGCTAGGGGCAGGGTGCGTGAGCTTCTTAAGGCGTGGACAGCGGGTGCATCCACTTGGGCAGAAGACGCAACCAGGCCGGGGTGCGTTCTGAGCAAGGAACGCCCTGCGCTGCGGTCCTCACCTTAGGACTATGGGTGGGAGGCCCGGTGTCAGACCGCGGGGCTCCGCGGCCCCCCAGCCACGCCCTGCGTCCCGCTCGCCCACAGGTGGTGCAGTACATCGGGAGATCTGCCGCTACCTGCTGAAGCAGCCGGGCGGGACGCCGACGGCGGCGGCACCGCGTGCGCTTGGCTGTGGGCAACGGGCTGCGGCCGGCCATCTGGGAGAGTTCGTGCAGCGCTTCGGCGTGCGCCAGGTGGGCGAGTTCTATGGCGCCACCGAGTGCAACTGCAGCATCGCCAACATGGACGGCAAGGTGTGGGCCGCGCGGTCCCGTGCGCCCCAGAGCGGACCCTCCTCCCGTGCGCAGTTAGTCCCGACCCGACTGCGCCCCTGAGCCAGAAGGGCGGGGAGACCTTGGGGACCTCCATTCTCCGTTTCATATCTATAAGTGGAGGTCCTGGTCACGCAACGTGGCTTTGTCACGGGCTCGGGTCACCATCCCGCCGGATAGGAGGCTCACTGCAGACCAGCTCCATGGCCTCCCCAGCCTCCATCCTTCCTGAGCCCTTCCCACCCCAGGCCAGGAACTCCTCAGGATGAGGGTTCACAGCAGGTGCCTGGGTTCTTTCCTGTCGTCTCCTTCCCCGCTGGGTCCCCAGTGCGAAGAATATGCAAGGTCCCTTCCTGGGATGACCAGCCCTGGAGGACACTGGCCATGCCACCTGAGGCAGATTCCACCACTATCGAGCCAACATTGGCCTGACATGTGGAACGAGCGTTTCTGCTCACAGGGCAGGGGATGCAGAGTCAGTGGGGAGGGCCATGCCACATCTCTGCCTGGCTGACTCGGTCGCCCGTCCCAGGTCGGCTCCTGTGGCTTCAACAGCCGCATTCTCACCCATGTGTACCCCATCCGGCTGGTGAAGGTCAACGAGGACACAATGGAGCCGCTGCGGGACGCCCAGGGCCTCTGCATCCCGTGCCAGCCTGGTGAGCAGGACCCCTCCTCCAGCCCTGGGGAGCTGGGGTCCCCTCCTTCCTCTCTCATCCCAGCCTGGCCTCCTCCCCAGGGGAGCCCGGCCTCCTGGTGGGCCAGATCAACCAGCAGGACCCGCTGCGCCGTTTCGATGGCTACGTTAGCGAGAGTGCCACCAGCAAGAAGATTGCACACAGCGTCTTCTGCAAAGGTGACAGCGCTTACCTGTCAGGTGCGGAGCCTGCTAACCCCCCACTCCCCCCACCCCCGTTGCTGGACGGTGGGCGGGGCCTCACCTCTCCCCTCCCCTCCCCATCCGCCAGGTGACGTGCTGGTGATGGACGAGCTGGGCTACATGTACTTTCGGGACCGCAGCGGGGACACCTTCCGCTGGCGCGGGGAGAACGTCTCCACCACCGAGGTGGAGGGTGTGCTCAGCCGTCTGCTGGGCCAGACAGACGTGGCCGTGTACGGGGTGGCCGTGCCAGGCAAGCTGGGGTTGCAGAGGGGTGCTTGTGGGGTGCAGAAGTGCCAGGGGAGTCCAGCCACAAGGGACCTGGAGGGGAGAGTTGCCTTTGGGCAGTGCACGACCTGGCTGATGGTGGGAACACTGGGTCTGGAGGCCCATTCACATGTGATATGTTGGGCTTTAGTTTTGTCACCCAGAAAAATGGGATCGCTCTTCCTCAGGTGCAGGGAGTGAGGCCGGACCAAATGTTCGCTGCTTGGGCGAAGGGTGGGTAGCACCAGTGTGCGGGTGTGGTTCTCACAGAGCCTCTCTCTCCAGGAGTGGAGGGAAAAGCAGGCATGGCGGCCATCGCAGACCCCCACAGTCAGCTGGACCCCGACTCCATGTACCAGGAGCTGCAGAAGGTGCTGGCGCCCTATGCCAGGCCTATCTTCCTGCGCCTCCTACCCCAGGTGGACACCACAGGTATGGCCGCCTCTGTCCATCCGTCCATGAGCTCAGCAGCCTACTTGTTCCTCCTACTCCAGCTCCCAGGCTGTGTGGCAGCCTAGAGCTAGCACAAACTCATCAAGCCTCTTCTCCACCCGTGAGTCTCACTGTTAACACCGTCCACAGGGCCTTTTGTTGGAAAAAATACCCTTATTACTATTATTTTCTCTTTGGTGGGACTGGGCTTTGAACTCAGGGCCTTACACCTTGAGCTGCTCCATCAGCCCTTTTCTTGTGTTAGGTATTTTCGAGATAGGGTCTTGTGAACTATTTGCCTTGGCTGACTTAGAACCATGATCCTCCTGATCTCTGCCTCCTGAGTGGCTGGGATTACAAGTGTGAACCACAAGTGTCCAGCAAAATTTTTCTTAAAGGACCAGACAGTCAGTATTTCAGCTTGGCAGGCCATATGGTAGCCAGCTGAATGTGTAAATGAAAGGGTGTGGATGTGTGCCAATAAAACTTTATTGACAAGGGCAAGTCCTGGCCCCAGTTTGTTGTTGTTGAAACATTACTCGTGTCCATCCCATGGGGGCCAGAGGGGAGCAGGTGGGCTCTGGCTGTGGTTATAGTGAAGGAGGTAGGGAGGCCTCCATGGACGAGGCTCTGGATAACAGGGATTGGAAGGACAGGAGGCTGCAGGCCGCCCATGTGGGGCATGGTGGCTGTGCTGAGGCCTGGTGGGTGGGAGCAGCAGCAATGGCTGGAGCCCTGCAGCCTCCTCCTCTGCCCGCCCAGGCACCTTCAAGATCCAGAAGACGAGGCTGCAGCGTGAGGGCTTCGACCCGCGCCAGACCTCGGACCGGCTCTTCTTCCTGGACCTGAAGCAGGGCCACTACCTGCCCCTGGATGAGGCGGTCTACAGTCGCATCTGCTCCGGTGCCTTCGCCCTGTGACAGCCTCCCTGTCTGGAGGCTCGGGCCGGAGGTGGTCATGGCTTCAGCCAGAGTGCTGCCTGGGATCACCTGTCTCACCAGCCACCTGTGTCACCGGCCACCCTCCTGGAGGACCACCTGCAGAGGCACCTGCCCAGCCACACCTCTGGCACCCTCGTCTCCCTCCATGCCCGTCTCCTCCTTGCGGCTTGTCCCCAGGAGCAGAGCTATGTTCTGAAGCTCCATCCTGTGGGGTCCCCAAGCCTGTCATCTGCTCCCTCCCTGTGCCTTACGAGCCCAGCACAGCCTCAGCTGCTGGTCTGGACGTTGTTGTCACGCCTCACCCTCCTGTCCAACCAGGGCCACCGTGCCCGGCCCGCCAGAGGTCCTGGTCAGGAGACCAGGGTTTTTTTTGTTTTTGTTTTGCTTTTTGAGATGGGGTCTCTCGTCTTGGCTGCAGTCCAGGCTGGCCTCAGCCTCCCGGGTGCCGGCCTGGAAATGTCCTAGTCCAGGTCATCACCTTTTTGCACTTTCTTGTCCTGTGTACCCAGGAAGCTTTCACAGCTGTCTGTCACCACAAGGATGTCACCACTGCCTAGGTGCCTGAATCCAGGCATCTTCCTGCTTTGACCGGGAGGTCATAGTCTCCTGTCCCTGGAAGGGCCTCTGGTGTCTCAGTGTGGCTTCTGGGTGGTTCCCTTCCTCAGGTGGCATCTGATATGGCCTCTCGGACCCCCTGGTGGTGACTCTCTGGGTGTCCCCCTGGTTTGCAGCTGATGACCCAGACCCTGTTGTAGTGGGCTGGGACGACCCTGCTGAGGTGGCTCACGTCCCCATAGGTCTTAGTGGCTCATCTCAGGCACTGTGTCAGCCAGGTTGGGTTAGGGTTAGGGCACAGTGGGGACAGTGAGTGTCCCCTGGCTGCTTCCCATGCACTGCACGTGGTGAGGTCCCTTCCCCAATGATCTTCAGAAATAAACCTGCAGCACCTGTGGGGATCCAGTCATTTGTTTCCTCTGCAGTTCAGAAAGGGCACGGGGAGGGGGGGATACATGGCCACACAGCAGGATGGTGGCTGTCCTCCCTGCCTGTGCAGGGTACTGAGGACCCACAGGGCTCCCACAATTCAGGACAGAGAAGGGACATCTGATGGTGAGGATGAAGATGACCCCACCCAGGCCACACTGTACTTGCTTGGTCTCTGGCTGGATCAGGTGTCCTGGGGGCTGCAGGATTCATGTGGCACTTCACTGGCTGGCTGTTTATAGGGCGCTGGGAAACAGCAGGGTGAATGAAGCGCTCACAGCAGGTTGGGTTGAGACACCCATTAGCCACCTTTCCTATAGTGAAACGCCTGAGGCGGGTCGTGGTGTAGCCTGAAGTTTTGGAGTGAAAGTCCAAACTGCATGGGGCTAGCTCAGTGAAGGAGGGGGCTGTCTGCTGTGGTTTCTCTGGGAGCAGCAGGGTAGCCTGGGGCAGACAAAGGCAGACCTCACATCCCCTCTGACCTTAACACCCACAGGGGTCATCATGGCCCCCATGGTTCAGACGAGGAACAGGTGCAGGAGGGGAAGAGATGTCACCAGGTGGGCAGCCTTCTTGTAGAAGCAGATCTCAACTGGGCACCGCATAAGTAATGCTAGCTACTTGGGAAGCAGAGATGGGGAGGGTGGAGGTTCGAGGCCAGCCCCAGCAAATTGGTCCGGAGACTCTGGAGACTCCATCTCCAAATTAACCAGAGGAAAGGGACCTGAGGTGTGGCTCAAGCGGCAGAGCAATCTTAACAGTACATTTTCCAATTCATGAACATAGGATATCTTTCCATTTTTCAGAATTACCTTTCATTTGTTTTCCAGCAAAGTGTTACAGTTTTCAGGGTAAAAGTCTCGCGCTTGTGTTGCTAGACTTATTCCTAAGTATTTGATTCCCTGTGAACTTTTGTTTTGGGGTTCTGAGATTTGGGTCACATAGGCAGCAGCCCAGGAAGGCAATTCTCCAGCCTGATGTCAAGGGCGAGGCCACCAGAGCGGCCCTGGGTGTTTTATCTTAATGACGCCGTGGCTGGGGAACCACTTCTGCAGCTCTGAAGACCTGGGTACGGCAGCCCGCCCCGTCCCGCCCCGCCCCTCCCCTCCCCTCCCCTCCCATCCCGGTGGTGTTTTTCCTCCCTAGCCCGGAGGTGCCTGGGCCTTTAAGGGCCCTGGGAGGGCAACAGCGAAGAAGGGCTGAAGCCGTGTGAGGTCATCAGGCAGCGTCCAGCCACCCACGCTGTGGCTGGCACGCTGCAGGAAGCTTGGGAGGCATCAAGGAAATACCCTTTCCCTTCGGAGCTTGCACTTAGTAGCAACCAGACACTGTTACAAGAGGCGGGAATTTCAAACGCACCTTCCAGAAGCCCCTCCAAACACCCTAAGCACGCCCCTTGGCGTCCCCCGCCCTCGATGACCGTTGACCCCACGATGATGAGCAGCAAAGTACCCGGGCTCCGTCCCCAGCCCGGGAAAGGATTTCCGGCGCTGTCCGCAAAGAACCAATGGGCGGGGCTGCAAGAGCTGCCCGGCCCTGCGCCTGCTTCACTTAGGTACTGCGCATGTGCACGGCGAACCCGACCGGCGCCCTCACCCTTCGCGCAGGCGCACTGCGCTTCCACCGCCCCGCCGTCGCCATGGCCGCGCCGGCCCCCGGCCTCATCTCGGTCTTCTCGAGCCCGCAGGAGCTGGGCGCGTCGCTGGCGCAGCTGGTGGTGCAGCGGGCTGCGTGCTGCCTGGAAGGGGCCCGCGCCCGCTTCGCGCTTGGCCTGTCGGGCGGTAGCCTCGTCTCCATGCTGTCCCGCGACCTGCCCGCTGCCGCCGCCCCCGCCGGATCCACCAACCTCGCGCGCTGGACGCTGGGCTTCTGCGACGAGCGCCTCGTGCCTTTCGAGCACCCCGAGAGCACATACGGCCTCTACCGGGTGAGCGCTACGGGGGCCGCCGAGGGTCATGCCGGCAAGGCCACGCCCACCGCCGAACTTCAGTCGTTGGGGGCCGCCGTCCAGGCCACGCCCACCTCGGTGCTCGGCTGTGGGCGCCGTCGGCAAGGCCACGCCCACCGCCGAAGTTCGGGTCTGGGGCCGCCGCAAGGCCACGCCCACCGCCGAAGTTCGGCTCTGGGGCTGTCGCAAGGCCACGCCCACCGCCGAAGTTCGGCTCTGGGGCCGCCGCAAGGCCACGCCCACCGCCGAAGTTCGGCTCTGGGGCCGCCGCAAGGCCACGCCCACCGCCGAAGTTCGGCTCCGGGGCCGCCGCAAGGCCACGCCCACCACCTGATGTTCTCCCTGGGCGGCGGGTGCAGAGGGACCGCATGTCGAAGGCCCAGGGGGTTCCCGGCGCACAGGTGCGCTCCGCAGCCACGCCGGGGTCTGTGGTCCCGGGCCTTCACTGCATGCTCCCTGCCGTGGACTCTGGTGCCCACGGATCGGGACTCTCTGTGTCTTACAGACTGGTAAACTGAGGCTCAGACGAAGCGCGGGCGCTCCGTGGCCTCCCGTGCCTCAGTCTCCCTGTCTGTACCCGGCGGCCCTCGCTGACTCTCCCCCGCCCTGCAGACGCACCTGCTCCCCAGGCTGCCGGTCCCCGCCGACCAGGTGCTCACCATTGACCCCGAGCTGCCCGTGGAGGCGGCGGCCGAGGACTACGCCGCCAAGCTGAGGCAGGTGGGTGGACCCGGGGCTCGTTTCTTGGGGTTACCTGAACCCCCAGACCTGTGAGTCCCTTTGGCAGAACCCAGTGTGATGGCCTCGCCTGTGACCCCAGTGCACGGGAGGGTCTCGGGTTCCAGGCGAGCCCCTGCCCCAAAGAACCAAAAATTTCTTGGTCTTTGCTGGGCATCCACAGGGGGACCGGCTCCAGGACCCTCCAGATGCTCAGGTCCCTTCTGTGCATGGCCCCGCAGGCTTTGTCATGTCTAGACGGCCCTGGACGTCTTGTCTTGATACGATGTGATGGCCCAGGAGTCCCAACTGCCACACTGTAGCATTGCTGGACAGGGACAGAGAAATGGCACCTGCTCCACACAGCGGAACCCGCACGTCTTCTGACAGCTGACTCTGTCCCCTGAGCCCCTCGCCTGGCACCTCTCACCCATCTTCTCTCCCTACCAGGCCTTCCAAGGAGACACCATCCCAGTGTTCGACCTGCTCATCCTGGGCGTGGGTCCCGATGGCCACACCTGCTCGCTGTTCCCAGGTCACCCCCTCCTGGAGGTGAGAGGCAAACCAGACCCATGAGCCTCAGTTTACCCACGTGAAACCACAGACCTGGGCTGGGGAGGCTCAGCGGCGCAGCGCGTGCCTAGCCCCTGGCCTTCCTCCCTCAGGAGCAAGAGAAGATCGTGGCCCCCATCAGTGACTCTCCAAAGCCACCACCACAGCGTGTCACCCTGACGCTTCCCGTGCTGAATGCAGCCCGAACCGTCGTATTTGTGGCCACTGGAGAAGGCAAGGCAGCTGTCCTGAAGGTGAGGGGTGTGGACTGTGGGGACAGAAGTGGTCAGGCCCTGCTGTGCAGGACCTGGTGTTTGTGTGGATCACTCCGTAACGCTTGGGGTGGGGGATCCGAGCCGGCCCGAGCTGCACCGCAACGCCCTGATTCAGAACAAGTAGTTACACAAACAGATAAACAAAGAGGTAAATCGTGCTTTCCCCCCAAGCCGTGGGACCCAGAGGTCCTCGGGAGGCGGCTCAGTGTTGGTGCGGGCTGGGGAGAGGCTGGCAGTGGCCCCAGTGGCCTCACCTTTCCTATCGTTGGGGGAGGGGCCACCAGGTGAGTCCCTGAGGGGAGGGTCACTTGGTGAGACGCAGGGCAGGTGATTCACACTTTCGTCCCGAGTCACGTGGGTCCCAGGCCCGTGTCGCACAGAGACAGGCAGGATTGGGTCTGGCTGCCGGGATCAGGCCTTGCTCAGGGTGGACCCAGGATTCCTGCGTCCACAATGCTCAGTCCCTCCTATGACCTGAGACAGTACCACACGGAGCCCAGTTTCTCTGAGTATGTCCGTGGGTGCAGAGCCCTCAGCAGGAGCTGCTGAGACCCAGCCCCGGGACCTGCCATTCCTCGAGTGCACAGGCCGCATAGTCACCTCACGATCCCGGCTGGAGTGGACCAGGGCCTGGAGCCACTGCCCAGGCTCCTAGGAGTGTGGGTGTTTTTTCTTTTGGTGTACTGGGTTTTGAACTCCGGGTCTCGTGCTCCCTGGGCAGGTGAGCTCTAGGCGTGAGCCACAACCCCAAGCCCAACTTTTTTTCTGTGGTGCTAGGATTTGCACTCAGGGCTTTGTCCTTGCGAGGCTCTGTACCCCTGAGCCGTCACTGCCCTCCTACCCTGCTAGAGTGTTTTCACTTTTTAGCTGTTTGGGGAAATCTGTGGACGTGTGTAGCACTCCAAGCTCAGTGAACACGAGTAAAGTTTTGCTGGCCCGTTGGCGCATCGTCTGCGGACAGAGCCAGGAACGGCGGCAGAGCGGGTCGGCACCAGTGCCGGGTCCTCGCTGACCAGGTCCGGCCGGTGTCACAGTCACGGGTGGCGGAGGAAGGGCCCTGAGACAGACGAGAACGGCGCCACCACGCTGAGACTCCAAACCCCAAAATGCTCCAGGGGCAGAAGCACTGAGAGTTCGGCCCAGATTCACCCAAGGGATGGCGTCACGACACGATGACGTCAGGCTCAGTGACGTCACAACGCCTTCCCGTTCAGCTCAGTGTAGGGGAGGGGGTGAGACGGGGTCGGTTCCCTGAGGCGCCTTTCGGGCACCCGTGGGGTCCCCGCGAGTTGCGGGGCGCCGGGCCAGCGGCCTCACCGCCCCTCTCCCCGCAGCGCATCCTGGAGGAGCGGGACGGAGCCCCGCTGCCCGCCGCGCGCGTGCGGCCGCACACCGGGAAGCTCTGCTGGTTCCTGGACGAGGCGGCCGCGCGCCTCCTCACCGTGCCCTTCGAGAAGCACTCCACCTTGTAGCCTGGGGCGGCCACCCGCAGTCCCCGGGGGACTCGACCACAGGCCAGGCGCTGGGCCACCTGGATATTAAAGGCGTGTGGCTGGAAGTCTTCCCGACTCCTCATCCTTGGTGGCCACTGCCCTGGGTCCCCGCTGTGCCCCCCGCAGCCCTGGGTGGGTGGCCCTCCCGCCACACTGGGTGGCTTCAGATTGAGGCTGGGGGTCAAGCTGTGCAGCGCCTGCCCAGCAAGCAAGGGGCCTGAGCTAAAAAACAAAACCAAACCAAAAGCAAGTCCTGCTTGTCCAGTCCAAGCGTGGGCAGAGTTGGCCCTGGTCCAGGTCCCACCCCAGCCCCTCCTGGCTTCTGCAGCTGCTTAGCTTGGTGTCCTGGGCCTGGAGACTCTCATGGCCGTCTCCCTCTGTCCCTGAGGGACAGCTGTCACTGTGCTTAGAGCCACGCCAACCCTACAATGACTTCATCTCGACATCCTTACTGAGTACTAGCCGTAAAGAGCGTTGTTCCAATCGAGGTCATGTCCTGAGGCTCCAGGGTGCACCTGTCCTTTCCGGGGGACACAGTCCAACCCCGGAGCTGAGCTCTGACTGCACACACAGGACCCCAGCTCCTATAACACTGCAGCACCACTGTCAGATGGAGTCCACCTGGTCCAAGGTGGTTGCTTGTGCTCCAGCCATCGTGTCCACACCCTATCCACTGGAAGAGGGAGGGGAGGGGATTCACCAGAGACACTTGTCACACCGCCACAGCCTGACGGTGTGGCAGCAAAGTCAGCTGCGTCCTTAACTTCTGCCTGACTGCAGTACCTTTGCTTCCCAGGTGCCCTGCTCATGTGGGGCCCAGAGACCCCAGCGGGGAGGACTGGGCACACGGGAGCTGCTCAACCCCGTGCAAGCTTGGGGGAATTTGGGGGGTGGGGGCATCCCCAGGAAGCATCCACAGGCGGGGGCAAAGGGGGAATTGAAACCTCCACGTGGAGGCAACTGCGGAAGGAGGAAGTGGAACCACACAGGGTGCAGCTTCCTTCACCGTCCAGCCCCATGGTCCCTGGGGTAGGAGAGAGAGGAAGTGGGAGCTTGGAGGGGACAGAGGATGGTGCAGCTGGGGACCTGGACTACTGCAGGTGTCTGCGGCCCTCTCCCCCAGTGCTGTGGACACAGGCTAGGGCAGGGGCTGAGAAGGGAAGGAAGGTGAGACGGACATCAGGATGCCATGTGAGGGCCCTGCCTGAGGGGAGTCACTCTTTCTCCTGAGAGGGATGTGATTGCTGTGCTATTGTCTCATGGTCCAAGGTGGCTGCTTGTGCTCCAGTCATGGTGCCAGATGTCCCGGCCAGTGGCCCAGAAGGATGAAATTCACCCTAGACACTTGTCGCACAGTCTGTGTAGCAGCGGGGGGGGGCTTGGGGGGCCACACTGCTTCACCAGCCAGAGCCTCTGACCCCCCAAAAGTGGCCAGCAGCCTTCGGAGGTCTTCAGGGCCCCGCCCATCACCTTGGCTGAAGGGCAAAGCAGGACTCACTGCCCACCTCCTGAGAAAGCCTGTGAGAGCCTGGCGAGAACAGACTCCCTGCCTTCTTTTACTCAGTTGTTCACTCAGCAAACCCTGAAGGCTGACCCAGTCCAGAGGCACAGAGGGGATCGGTGTCCAGGCCACAGCGCAGGCACGGGAGGCTATGGGAAGGGCGGTCCCAGCTGCATATATGACCGTCCATGCAAAGGTCCTGGGGTGCTTTGACAGATGGCGCCCAGGAGGGTGGTACAGGAGGCCGAACGCACAAAGAAACCAGCATGAGGGTTGGGGGTGTGCTGGAGATGAAGGGGTGGCTCAGGGGTGATTGGTCAGAGGTTGGGGCACGTGGAAGGATTTGGGGGTGAAATTTCAGGTGCCCCAAGTCTCCACTCCTCCTCTCCAGAGCCCTCTTCCTCTGAGACCCCAGCGCTGACCAGGGTCACCTGGGGAGCGACTGTGCGGCTGTGTCACCGCCTGGGGTCGTCCACTAGGAAGGGATCCAGGTTCCCCCAGCACGGGTCGGTGCAGCGGGGTGGAGGGCGCAGGGAGGGGGGTCCCCCCAGAACTGCCAGTGGGTACTGTGCACGAGCACCCCAATCCGTCCTCGAACCCCCGGGTCTCAGGCTCAGCCACCGCGTTGCTCAACTGAGACGTTTTTCTCCTGCACCTCAACCTCCCCCGGGGCGCCCCGGGTTCCCCACGGAAACTGCCAGCCGGTGGGCTGTCCCTCGGGACAGGTGGTGGCAGGGGCGGGACGGGGCGACACCACACCCTGACCCAGCCCTCGTGCCCACCGCTCTCCCAAGCAGAGCCCAAGAGGTCTCAGGACAGGCGGACAGACGGACGGACGGACAGACGGTGTCCCTGCCAGGATGGGGGCGCGGCCCTCCAGCGCCCTGGACGAGCAGCAGCAGAGACAAGTGAGAGGTGAGGGAGGGGCAAAGCTGCAGAGTGCACCAGGCTGGAAAGGTCCTCATTTAGACGCTTCTGCACCGGGATTTCAGAGGGGACCTGGGGCCAGCGTCCCCAGCCCACCAGGCCCTCTGCTCAGGGCGGCCCTGGAGGTCTGTGCTGGGTCCTGTGGACAGGGGAGGTGGCCACTGAGCAGCTCAGGAAGGACAAATGCAGCTGGATGGAGAGGGATGGGGCAGGTGGCTGTCCCCAGGGGTTGGTGGCCATGCAGGACTACAGGAGGGTGTGTGGTGGAGGTGACAGGAGATGTGGGAAGGACATTCTGGATAGGGAAGTCCAATGTGGAGAGGCCTGTGACCTGTCCCCAGAATCAGGCACTGCTCTGGCTTGCTGCGTGCCCTTGTGTGGGTGGCTTCCCCTCTGGGCCCCATCTCTCATCTGAAGAACAGGCATCTGTGCCCAAGTCATCTCCTACCACAGAGTGGCTGCTAGATGCCAGCCATTAAGTCCTTATTCCAGGAGGGATGAGGAAAGCCCTTTCTGTTAATTTCTGTGTGTTTTTTTATTTCTATTTTTTTAAAAAAATTTATTATTCATTTATTCACGTGCGTACATTGTTTGGGTCATTTTGCCCCCCTCCCCCACCTTTCCCCGCCTCTATTTTTGTTATTGTTCTGAGATAAGGTCCCACTGTGCAGCCCATGCTGGCCTCAAGCTCCAGACCCTCCTGGCTCAGCCTCTATAGGAAGTACGGTTTACCTATGGTCAAGTGCACACCTGTCAGGGAACTTTCTCTCCCAACTCAGGGTACAGAGCTTGCATCTCCCCAGAAAACTCCCTCTTTTGGGGCAGGGCTTCTGAAAGCATTTGAAAATGTCCACAGAGGGCCGGAGGGGCTGTGGGTGTGGGGACACGGGTGGCCATCATGCAAGCCACCACCCTGTGCGCTTTGCAAACGCAGTCACCGCACAGAGGTTATAGGTTAAGCCGGCCGCTGGGCTCCCACACGGGTGGAGATACAAGGAGAACTGGCTTCAGGGCACTTTTCCTGGGGCAGCTTCCCAAGGGTAAAATAGGAGCTTGCGGGTGGTTCCCAGCAGGCGCCCAGGGCTGCAGCACCTCCTCACTGTCCCTGCCCTGCCCTATCACCGCAGGTGAGGTGGACACCCTGCTGGAGACCTTCCTGCCTTGCTACCGTGGCCAGCTGGCGGCCACGGTCCTCAGGCAGATCTCCCAGGAGTGCAGTCCCCAGGAGCCAGCCAGGTGCCAACTACTCCGCAGCAAGGTGGGTGCTGCTGGGGGCTCCCCACCCCGAGATTAGCGACCTGCAATTACTGTCCCTTGACAAACGCCCACTGCCAGGCATGTGAGGTCACGGCCTGATGGGGGATGTGCCCAAACCGGTGAGGGTGATTTCTGAGAAGAGGACAGGGGGACAGGCGGCAGGGACTGGGGCTGGACAGGGCAGGAGGTGGATTTGAGGAAGGGGGTCCCGCAGGGGTGCAGCCTATGCTAAAACCCTGGAGTTGGGAAAGGCGGGGGCTGCGTGGCACCCAGGGACCCGGCAGATCCCTGGACGCCAAACCTGGCAGTGTGGTGCCTTCTGCAAATCCATGCACTGCGGCTTCTCCCAGGAAGCCCTCCCGGATTGCCTGCGAGGACCAGGCCTAGTCTTGACTCCCCTTCCCCCATGGGCTGCGTGCGCTTAGTAGGAGCACAGAAAGTGGTTGCCGGCCTGGGGCATGGAGCCAGTGGTACAGAGTCTGCCCGACAAGTGCTAGGCCCTGAGTTCAAACCCCGGTACTGCCAAAAAAAGAAAGGGGAAAAAATCTAGTCCCAGCTACTCCAGAGGCAGAAGGATCGCTTGAACACAAGAGTTCAAGACCAGCCTGAGCAACATAGCAAGACCTCAGCCCCATTTTTTTTTTTTTTTTGGTGGGAGTGGGGTATGAACTCAAGGCTTTGCAGTTGCAAAGCAGGTGCTCTACCACTTGAGCCACACACCCAGTTCTTTTTGCTCTGGTTATTTTGGAAATCGGGTCGTGAGACCTATTTGTTCCAGCTGGCCTCAAACTGTGATCCTCCTGACTTCAGCCTCCCAAATAGCTGGGATTACAGGCGTGAGGCACCAGCTCCTGGCTCCACCACAGAGCTGAACGCCTGTGTTTGGTGGGTCCTGGTCGCAGCCTGAGGCGTCCAGGTGATGGAGACCCCTAACCTGCCCTCACCCCGCCCTGGCTTCCCCTGCAGAAGCTGCCTCGAGTCCGGGAGCACCGAGGGCCACTGTCGCAGCTGCGTGGCCGCCCGCCGCGGTGGCAGCCCGTGTTCTGCGTGCTGCGCGGGGACGGCCGCCTGGAGTGCTTCAGCCACAGGGAGGTGAGTCAGGGTCAGACGGGTGGCATCTCCTCCCATGCCCTGCTGGGTCGGGTGGGTAAACTGAGGCAGGGCAGAGCGTTCGGTGTAGCGAGGGGTCCCTCGAGGCCCGGGACTCAGTTTCCACACCTGGGAAGTGGGGTGCTAATGGAGCTGCCTGGGGCTCTGAGGACGTGAGAACTTTCTCAGAGAGGCCACGGGGCCCGCCCAGCCCAGGGAGGGATGGGTCCCCCGGCGTCCCCCATCCTGTCACCCCTGTCTCAAGCTCATTGTCTGACAGGAATATGAGAAGGGGGGCCGCCCCCTGGGCTCCACCGCCCTGACGGGGTTCACGCTGCTGACCTCCCTGAGGGACTTCCTGCGCCTCCTGGACGCGCTCTGCCCGGTGTCCTCAGGTCAGTCTGGGGTCCCCACACTGCGACTCTTCCCAGCGCTGTGCATGTGCGACAGTGAGTGCCTCATGCTTGCCTCCCCACCCGAGCATGGCCACCAACAGTGCCTGCCGGTGTCGCTGTGGGGCCTCTCGCAGAATGGGTGACAACGACCTGACCTGCTTTGCAGGGGACCCCGCCCAGGAGGAGCCCGACCCCCTCGGGGAGGTCCCCGTGAGCTTCCCCCTGTTCCTCCAGCACCCCTTCCGCCGGCCCCTCTGCTTCTCGGCGGCCAGCGCAGAGGTGCAGCGGGCCTGGAGGCTGGCCCTGCAGGGTGGCATCCGGCTTCGGGGCACAGGTGGGTCCCTGGGCGAAGGCGAACCCTCCATTTCCTTGTCCATAAAATGGGTTGTTGGAGAAGATCACAGTGGGGACAGCAGGCAGGTATGAGGACTGTGACAGCAACAGGACACAGTGTCCCGTGGGAGCTCAGTCTGGAGGAGTCACAGAGGGCTTCCTGGAGGAGGGGGTGTTGCAGCTGGGAAGGGTGAGGGGTCAGCCAGGAGAAGAAGAGGGATGGGATGGACACATACAGTTGTGCAGGCTGGTGACTGCACAACGGTGGCCACCAGGAGGGGCTGCAGGGTGGCCGTGTGCGGGGTCCCTTCTAAGTGCACCTCTGGACGGGTGCTGGCTTTGCTGATGCAAAGGTCCAGCGGCCGGGAGACTTGGGGTGCTCCCGGCCTCCTCCCCGATGGGCAGCGGGCACTGAGGAGCCCCCCTCAGTCCTGCAGCGCAGCCAGGCCCCGGCCGCCCGCGCCTTCCTGGACGCCGTCCGCCTCCACCGGCAGCATCGAGGCCACTTTGGGGACGACGACGCGACGCTGGGCTCGGACGCGGAGGTCAGTGCCCGCCAGGCCGGCCGGGACCCGGGTTGGGGACCGGCGCCCACCGCCCTCTCCCGCAGGTGCTGACCGCGCTGCTGATGCGGGAGCTGCTGCCGGACTTGCGCGCGCGGACGCTGCGGGGCCTGCGCGGTGCGGGCCGCGCCCGGGCCTGGGCCTGGACCGAGGTGGGCGCGGCGGGAGGACGGCGGGACGGCGGGGGCCCCCTGCGCCGCGACTGTCACCTGACCGCGCCCCTGTCCCCCCCGCGGCGCCCCATGGACCGGCCCGGCAGCTGCTGGACGCCGTGTACGCCGCCGTCCTGGCCGGGGCCTCCGCGGGGATCCGCGCCTTCCAGCCCGAGAAGGACGAGCTCATGGCGGCGCTGGAACGGACGATCCGCCCGGACGCCGACCACATCCTGCAGCTGCGCACGCGCGCGGCCCACAGGCTGCGGGGTGAGCCCGGGAGGGGCGGGACCTGATCAGGAAGGGGCGGGGCCAGAGGCAGGGTGGGGCCTCTCCGGGGAGGGCGGGGCCGGGACGGACGGGGCGGGATCAGGGAGATGGGGCGGAGCCTGGCTGGAAGGGTGGAGTCAGGAAATGGGGCGGGGCCTGGGCGGGGGCGGGGTCAGGACAGACGGGGCGGGGTATGGTGGGGAGGGCGGAGCCAGGATAGATGGGGCGGGGCCTGACTGCGGTGTGGAGTCGGGACAGCCGAGAGGGAACATGGCTGGGGGGGCGGGGCCAGGGCAGAAGGGGCGGGGCCTAGGTGGAAGGATGGAGTCCGAATGGGGCGGGGCCTGGCTGGACAGGGATGGACCAAGAGAGACACGTAGGGGCCTAGCTGGGGGGATGTCATGACAGTTGGGGAGAGGCATGGCGGGGGAGGGGCGGGCACTGGACAGGTGGGGCGGGGCCAAGGGCCAGAGCGGAGAAAAGTTGTTGGTAGGGGCGGGATCCAGGGCCTAGGATACAAGAAGGCAGTGGGCGGAGCCGTAAAGAGAAGGGGCGTGGTCTACATGTTTGGTGGGCGGGGCCTGGAGGTTGAGGCTTAGAGAGCGAGCAGGGTGAGGCTGGGTGAGGCTGGGTGGGGTAGGGTGGAGACAGGAGCCCCGTGGACTAGGGTGGCTTCTAAGCGCTCAGGGTTCTCACGCGGGTTCGAATCCGCTCTGCCTCCCTGGCGTGCACCTTTGAGCTGTCCCCAGTTTCCATACCTGCGAAGCGTGGTAGGAGAGGGTGGCGTCTGTCCACATCTCCCTGCTGAGCCCAGGGTCCCCGCCACCCTCGGTCTGCAGCTGCCTTGCAGAGTTGACCCCAGGCTGGGTTTTTTTTGTCCTTTCAGCGGACATCCAGGGCCCGCTGGAGTCCTGCCTGCGCGGGAAGGTGGACACGCAGCTGCCCCGGGTCACGCAGGCGCTGCTGAGTTCCGTGGACGCCACGCTGGACGCGGTGCGGAGCCTGCTGGCCCGGGGCGTGGACCGCCTGTGCGGCCGTCTGCGCGGGAGCTCGGGCGCACGGCTGCGCGGGGAGGTGAGCAGGGCCGCGCTCGGTGTGACCATCACTGATGTTTGTCCCTGGCTGCTTTTCACTTATTGAGGACCGCCATGGAGTCTTCACTGCCACCAAAGCCTGGGGTTCATCCCCGGCACTGCAAAAAAAAAAAAAAAAAAAAAATGCCAGCAGAGTCCCAGCAGCCAGGACAGGACAAGCCCATGCCTCCCACGGTGACAGAGAGGGGACACTTGTCCTCTCAGTTGTGCCAGCAACATTTTCTGTGTTTCTCACTTACTGACTGCATGTCATGGTCACTCTCTCTGAGTTTGTGACAGCTGAGGCAGCATGGCTTCCTTTAGCATTTGTTTTGTCATCGTGTAGGGACCTTGTCCTTGTCTTAGCTGATGTGTTTTCCCACCTGACTGCTTGGGGACAGGTTTACGAGTTCGGGGAAATGCCGTGGGACCCAGAGCTGATGCATGTGTGCTACCGGGAAGCCGAGCGCAGCCGGGGACGCCTGGGGCAGCTGGGGGCACCCTTTGGCTTCTTGGGGACGCAGAGCCTGGTGTTTGGGGTGCAGGATCTCGCACAGCAGGTGAGGGTGAGCGGAGGCGGGAGGAGGCCAGGCGAGAGGGTAGCCTCCACTGAGCGTGTGCCGGCAGACCAGGGAGGGGACAAAGACCCAGCTGGACCTCCCTGCTGGACCCGTGAGCAGCATGGCCATGGAGTCCTCAAGGAGAGTCCAGGCTTGGCTGGGGACCTCCAAGCTGGGACTGTGTGGGGAAGGAAGAGGGAGCCACAAGCCTTGAAGGGCTTGCATTTCACAGGACAGCTGAACAGAGAGAGGAGAGACGGGCAGGTGGGCAGAGCCTTGCTGTGGTGCTGGGGCTGGTCTGAGGACTGGATGCCCTGTGTGCACGGCTGCCAGGGACAGCTGTGGCGGGGCAGAGAACGGGCCTGACAGAGGAGGGAAACAAAGTGTTCTGCAGGCCATGTTGTACGGTGGCTGAACTCTGTCCCCGACTGGGCACCAAGCCCCAGGGGAGGACAGCTGTTCTCTGCTGGGAGAAGGTGGAGGAGGCTGGGGGGGCCGAGAGGTCAGGACATGCAGGTTCTGGGGCTCACAGCAGCGCCTGCTCCACAGCTCATGGCCGACGCGGTGACCACCTTCCTGCAGCTGGCCGACGAGTGCCTGACCTCGGCCCTGGACTGTGACCAGGCCACCCTGCAGCTGGAGAGAGTCAGGGGGCGTGTGCTGAAGGTGAGGCCTGCCTCGGGGAGGGCACGATGGGCCGAATGCTGTGCTGGCCGCTGGACAGGTCCCCGTGTGTCCTGCAGAAGTTCACCTCGGACAGTGAGTCGGCGCGGTGGAGGAGCACGCGGAGCTGGCTGCTGGGGATCTTCCTGCCCTTCGTGCTGAGCCAGCTCGGCCCGAGACGCAAGGTGGAGAGCGCTTGCCTAGCACTGGGGGGAGCCGGGGCGGCTGAGGCTCTGACACAGATCTAAGGGGTCAGCACAGGGAAGCGGGTCCATTGTGTTCTCTGCAAGCAATGGATGATTTTTGTCCTTCCCCTGTGATGCCACAGCAGAGTGCCTGAGGTCCGGTCATTTACAAAGAATGGAAGATTGTTCCTTAAGTTGGGGAGGTGGACAGTCCACCTTATCCCTCGGTGGGGAGCTCAGCTGTCCTTGTGACGGTGACACTAAGCCATTCTTCGTGACCTGAGCAATCTACCTCTCCACTCATGTCCAGCACACGGACTGGGGCCATGATGAGCGCGTGTCACTGTTAACCTGGTTAATTAATTCCCACAAGACCCTCGTGAGTGCGGGTCAGGGAGGCCATTTTACAGATCAGGAAACTGAGGCCTGAGGCGTCCAGCAGCTCAGGGTGGACCTCGAGGATCTGTGGAGGTCCTGCCCTCCAGCCCAACCCTAACGTGTGCTTCTAGGCGCTGCCTGACGTCGAGGGGGACGTCCTGGCCGTGGGCAACCAGGCCTTGACCACCGAGGGCATCTACCAGGATGTCGTTCGGGAGGCCTTGCTGCAGAGGATTGACCGAGGTGAGCTGCCTGCCTGGGGAGCCTGGCCTCCCTGGCTGTGGGTACCAAGCACCACCAGGACCCCATTTCCTGTGAGCACTTGCATTTTGACCTCAGGTCAGGGCCAGGACAGAGGGATTCTGGGTGGACAGTGATGGGGGCTCCCTGAAGGCGGGGGCATTGGAGTGAGGCTTTGAGGGTACTGTAGGAGTTCTTAGGGTGAGAAAAGGAGGCAAAATCTGTAAACCAGGGATGGAGTTTTACATGTATTCATTTAACAACCACTCCCCAGGGTTCTCCGGGCTGGCATGGAGTCGCCAGCAGTTCTCAGATTTGGGGGAGCCCTTCAGGGCTGGGAAGTAGTTCTGGGAACATCCCTGTCCCTCCAGCATGGTCAGTTCACTGCTGAGTCAATGCCTGTGACCATGACGAGTAACTGCAGCTGGGGCACAGGGCATGGCAAGGAGGTTGGAGGGTGCAGGGTCTCAAGTGACAGTCATGGGGGTTGACCAAGGTGACCTTGCTGAGTTCTCCTGGGGGAGGGGTCTCTCCATGGATTTGTGATGTGGGGATGGTGGCTGGGGGAGATGCAGGGTCCCTGGCCGTGTCCACCCCTGGCACAGCAGGGGAGAGGCTCCTGTGAGGGACATCTGTCTGGACTCACCAGATGCAAAAGGGTTTCTGCCTTATTTCAGAATTGAGAAAGGCACTCGGTGCTGACCACGAGTCTCGGGCTGACTGCTCAGAGGCCCCGTGGGACCAGGATGGAGCAGGTGAGGACCTGACTCTGTGCGGCACTGGCCATGACACAGAAGGGACAGGAGTCAGTCCCCGTGGACACTGATGGATAAGTCAGGGTACCCAGCAGCTGCATTTGTCATTTCAACATTGAAAGGACATGGTGGCCATGTCTGACATCCCAATATGTGGGAAGACAAGGCAGGAGTGAGACCCTGTCCCCCAAAACCATAACCAAACCAATAAAAACAGGATGGTCCCCGGGCCCCACACCTGTGTCCAGCAAGTGTTCTCCTTGGCTGCTGTTGGAGGACCTGCCCTCCTGTCCTGCCCCCCCTCCTGCCTGGGTACCTTGTGGCTCAGTCCCATGTCTTTCTGATGTTTGCTGTTTTACAGCTGGGGAAACTGAGGCTCAGTGTTGACCTGACCCGGCCTCAGCCTCCTCCTGGAACATTTGGAGACCAGTCCTCGCCCTGACCGTTGTCACTTCCGTGGGACAATGACCCACCTGGGATCCACCCAAGCTGCACCTGCCCAGCAGGGTTTGTGCATTTTCTGCAAGCCCTTAGCAAACACCGGGGATGTCACCTCGATGCACGCAACTCATTGCTCTAGCTTTACATTTTTATCAGCTTTATTTTGAACTGCTTGGATGACATTGAACTTAAACTAACTGGCTGTTGGTGACTTTGGGGGGACAGGGGGTACCGGGGTTTGAACTCAGGGCCTCACGTTTGCTGGACAGGGCTCTACCACTTGAGCTACGCCACCAGCCCCTCCTTTTGTTATTGAGAACTAGTAATCTTGCATATTTAGGGTAGTAAATATTATTCTCAGCTTGCTGTGAGCTTTTGGGGTTTGCTTACTGGCTCAACTCTTATTTTGCGGGTTGTTGCTGAGACCGGCCCTGAACCGCACCCCGCCCCCATCCTGACGAGGTGCCAGATTTCCTGCTGGGAGAGCAGCTGTCCCTGTCCCTGTCCCCGCCAGGACAGGAAGCCATCTGTTCCGGGAGGCTGCGGCTCCTCCGTCACGGCCGGCCCAGCTGCTTCCGAGCGAGGGCGTCCGGGGATCCCCGAGTGTCCCTGGCCAATTCGGGGAGCCTGGACCCTGCACGGAGGTGACCCCAAGCATCCGGCCTGTCCCAAGAGTGAGCTGACACTCCCGCTGCGCCTTTGAGTTTGCGCAGCACAGAGGGGCGTGGCTAAGAGCTGCACGGGGGCGTGGCCAAGTCGTGAGCGCCAGGGGAAGGGGCGTGGCTGAGCCGTGAGCCTCTGGACAGGAGGCGTGGCTCAGCGGTACAGCGCCCGTCTCACAAGCGCCACGCCCCAAGTTCAAACCCCAGCGCCGCCAAAGGAACGAAAACAAAGGAACAAAGCCTTCCCGCTTCCTGGGCTGCCTGCTTCCCTAGGGTGGGCTGCAGATGTCAATCCTGGCAACAAGGGTGAATTAGTCACCCCGCCCCTTCCAGAAAGTTCTCTGCCTCTGACCTAAATCTTCCAGATAAGGCAAGAACATCTTGTCACCTTATTTCTCTTAACATGCAAGCTCTTTCCCCACCGAATCCAGAGTGCAAACTTGTCTTTACCTTTTTATTATGGTGACTTTTTAATTGTTTTTGGTGGGACGGAGGTTTGAACTCAAGGCTCCTCACCTGCAAAGCAGGCGCTCTACCACTTGAGCCACACCTCCAGTGCATTTTGCTCTGGTTAATTTGGAGGTGAAGTCTTCAGAACTGTTTGCTCAGGCTGGCCTCGAATCGCAGCCCTCCAGATCTCAGCCTCCCAAGTAGCTGGGATTACAAGGGTGCCAGGCCGCGCCCGACAAAAACACAATCTTAAAACTGATGCAAACACATGGATCAGAAAGCACGTGACACTGGTCCTCTACCATCACGTCCCCCAAGGAGGTCTCCATGACGTCATTTTACAGAAGGGCAAGCTGCTTTGTGCACGGCAGGGTCTTGATGCTTAGCCACCCCGGCGGCGACATCTGTGCTGCAGACAAGGAAAGTGAGGCTCGGGTTTTTTGTTCCTAACCAGCCCCGTCCTTCTAAATCTAACACGCACAGACATTGGACATGCTGGAAGGCAGCAGGCCAAGTCCGCGTTCAGAGCTCTCTATGCCTTTAAGGCGGGACGGGGGCGGGGCGTCTGAGGCGGGCCTGCGAGCTGACGTCACGAGGGGCGGGCCTGTGTTGTCGGAGGGTAAGTGGCGCCCTGGCTCTTCAAGGCGTCGGGAGGTGAGGCCTGGGAGGCGCGTTCACTTCACGCCAAGCGCGCTCCTCCCCTTTAAATCGGGCGTCAGGGCGGGACCCGGATGACCGCTGACCCCCTTTAAGGCGCGGCCCGCGTCCGCCGGCAGAAAAGCGGCTTAAAGGCGACGCGTGGCGCGATGGCGGCGGCCGGGCGCGGAAGCCGGCGGCGGGGGGCGTCCGCGCTCCCGAGGTCGCTGCTGTTCCCGCTGCTGTTGCTGCTGTTGGCGCCGCCGCCTCCGTCCGGCCCGCGCGGCGCCGCCGCCTACTTCCCCGAGGAGCGCTGGAGCCCGGAGTCGCCGCTGCAGGCGCCGCGCGTGCTCGTGGCGCTGTTGGCCCGGAACGCGGCTCCGGCGCTGCCCGCCACGCTCGGCGCCCTGGAGCGGCTGCGCCACCCGCGGGAGCGCACGGCGCTGTGGTGAGGCCGCGGGGCCCCGTGGGTCCCCCGTGTGTCCCCCCATCTGGGTCCACAGGGTCCTCACCAGGTCTCCCTGGTGCCCCCTGCTGCCCCCAGCACTGTCACCTGCACTGTCCCCGCCGGAATGGCCGGGTCCCGGGGGCCACAAGGGAGGGCAGAGCCCCGAGGCCTCAGCGTCCTCCGGTGGAAAGGGGGTGTTTGGGGTCGTCTTTGAAGGTTAACCACCCTTGTGGGGGCTCGAGCCGGTGACCACTGCTCGGTACAGCGTTGTCGTCGTCGTCGCTGGTGCCAGGCTTGTGGACTTACCTTTATCTGGAGAATGAGTTCGGGACCGATCGTCCCCACTCTGCACGGTCCCAAGCACGCAGGTGGTGCTGAGCGAGCGTTTGTCGAATGAATGAGTGATCGCAGCCCGCGGTGTGGCGGTATCGCTGGTGGAAAGGGATGAAGGCAGGTGGGGTGGGGTTTCTGCAAAGTTGCTAAGTTGCGTGCCGTCGATGCTGAGTGAGTATAAAATCCTAGGAATGAAACCCACTAACATCCCAAGCCACACTCACTGGGTGCCCAGCAAACTGCAGCCTGTTCCCAGTGGGGAAACTGAGGCACGCCTTGTCCAGTCTGCGGAGCTGGCAGGAGGAGGATATGGAGCCCGGTCGCCGAGCTGGGGCTCCGTCCTTCTGGTCTCCTCAACTGTTCTGACGGGCACTGTGCCCGCAGGGTGGCCACCGACCACAACGTGGACAACACATCCGCGGTGCTGCGGGAGTGGCTGGTGGCCGTGAAGGACCTGTACCATTCCGTAGAGTGGCGGCCTGCGGAGGAGCCCAGGTGAGCGGCAGGTGACCTCTGTGTCTGTGACATGTCCTCCATGGCCTGTGTGGTCCTGGTCAGGGCCGGACCTCAGCCGGGGACGCGACGTGCTGACTGCAGATCGGCCACGGGCCTCCTGCTTCGTCCCCTCCGCTCAGCTCCCCCGAAGACGGACGCCCTGCTGCCTGCGCCCTCTGAGCGTCCGAGTTCCTCTGCCTCCAGTTCTCGTCCTGTCCGCTGTCCCTCCACGTCGGGGGTCTCGATGGTCACTCGGAGCTTTTCTCCCGCCTCTCAGTGTCCGGCTTTCTGCGCTCCGGCATTTGCCTGAGCCGCGCCAGCCGGGGACCCGCGGCCTGTCCTCCATGTCCCTCTGTCCCAGCCTCCGCTCCAGGCCCCTTGTCGTGTCACCTCACCGCTGTGTCCTTGCAGGTCCTACCCGGACGAGGAGGGCCCCAAACACTGGTCCGACTCTCGCTATGAACACGTCATGAAGTTGCGCCAGGCGGCCCTGAAGTCCGCCCGCGACATGTGGGCAGACTACATCCTGGTCAGTGTCCGGGAGGCCAAGGGCAGGGCAGGGGGGAAACCGAGGCTCAGAAGGAGGGGACACAGCTGTGTCAGGGAGGAGCTGGGGTTCTCCCTCCTGGACCACCTGGGTTTTGTGCCTGTGATGGCAGCACTGGGGGCATGGGGACAGGAGGACACTGAGTTCCTGTGGAACTCAGTGACAGGGACAGGAGCCACCACTGGCTCCTGGTGGACAATCGCCTGTCCTGTAACCTGGGACTCGGAGCCAAATTGGAGCATGCAGTCCTTGGTGTCACATTGTAAAGGTCACCGTGCTTTATTTTGCTTCTTTTTACACAAGCTGTGAAACTTATTTGCTGGAGAAAATGTAAAGAAAAAAATAAGCTTAAAAAAGCAAACCTAACGTCACCTCCAGGGAACCCGTTTGGGGCTGTTCGATTTCATTGAGGTGCAATTTGCACATCGTGACATTAATCACTTTATAGTGCACAGTGCAGTGGCCTTGGCGCCGTGGCGAGGCTGTGTGACCTCCCCCTCTGTTTGGGTCCAGAATCGTCCATCCCCGAGCCCCCACTCGTCTTCCTGTCCCGTGGGTTTGCAGTTCTGGACGTTTCCTATCAACGGGTCACGCGCTGTGTGCCCTCTGTGTCTGGCTCTGTCACTCAGTGTCACGTTTTCAAGGTGTGTCCACGTTGTAGCAGAGACGGGCGGTTTGCTTTTCATGGCCGAGTAATATTCCGTTGCACTGAGGGACACTTGGGTTCGTGTCCCCCTCCAGCTTGGGTTTATATGCTCAGGAACTGGGCAACGTGCGGCGTCTGTGTTTTATTTTTGGGGGAACCGCCAGGCTTCTCCAGCTATCCTGCATATATGCAAAGCTCACAGATTCTGACATCCCGGGGCACGTGGTGTGAAGCTTGTCCCAGGCTCGGCTGCTCTGCCCAGCCAGGCTTGCCACGTGGGAACTCTGTCCTGTCCCCAGTGACAACGGGATTCAGGTTTTGTTGTTTGTGGCTGTCGGTCCACACTCTAAAAGTACTGCAGAGAGCATAGCTGTGGACCAGGTGCATGAAAAAAAAACCTAAAACGCCTTCCTAGTCCAGGCTGTGCAGACTTACCCGAATCGCGAGGGAGTGGTTCAGTTTTGGATCTGGGGACATTTCGCAGACACGATGATACGTCCTGGGGATGGGAATTTGTGTTCACACAACCCAAGTGTGGGTTTATACAGTTTTGCTGGGGTGAAATCCGGGCTGCCTGGCGCCCACACCGAGCGACTCCAGCCCTGGGTTGGGGACTGGGTCCTCGCCGCACAGCTCAGGCCGGCCTGGAACTCACCTTCTGAGCACTGGGGTCAGAGCCGAGGCCCTAGCACCAGCTTTTGCAATACGTTCAATAATTTTGTGTGTGAAACAAGCCATAGTCTCTCCTGTCACCCGCCCCGTGGAAAGCGTTGGTGACTGGTTTATGGTGCTCCTAGTCCATTTGCGTTGCTGTAAGGAAATGCCTGAGCTGGGAACTTTATACAGAAAGGTTTATTGCGCTCAGAGTTCAAGATCTGGTGCCCTGTGCGTGGCCACTGGTGTCACCACAGTGGCGGGGCACTTGCTGAGGAAGTCACAGGGTGACACAGGAAGCCGGAGAGTCAGGAAGGGGCCAGTTTTGTTCTTGTGACAACCCATCCTGCAGGAAGTAACCAAGGTGCTGGAGAACCGCATTAATCCCTTCCATGGCTCCGCCCCAGTGACCTCATCACCTCCCCGGGCCCCGCCTCTTAAAGGTCCTGCCACGCCCAACATCACCCCTGGGCTGGCAGCTGAACCACGTGAACTCTGGGGACACTCAGCACCCCAGAACCATAGTACTGGGGACTGGGCTCGCCCTGCCCGACGACCTCGCCAGTGACTCAGGAATGCCCGAGTACACACGGCCGTGCACACCTGGGTAGCAACACGTTATATTTTTTCTTTTGGCCGTACCAGGGTTCGAACTCCAGCCCTTGTGCTGGACGGGCAGGCATTCTGCCCGTGAGCTATGCCAGCAGTGCTTTTGCTGTGTTATTTTTCGGGTGGGTCTTGCATTTGCGCTGAGGGCTGGCCTCAGACCTTGATCCTCCTACCTCTGCCTCCCGAGTGCCCGGGTCACAGGTGAGCGCCATCACACCTGGCCATATGGCTCATTCTTTGGCAGGTGCTCTGTGGCTGGAGCCACCCCTCCAGTCCCTTTTGCTCTGGTTATTTTGGAAATGGGATCTCCAGGACCATTTGTCCAGGCTGGCCTCTAACTGTGATCCTCCCCATCTCAGCCTCCCAAGCAGCTGAGATTACAGATGTGAGCACTGGTGCCTGGCCACGTGGCTCATTCCTGAGGGCACAGTGGGGCCGCCAATGTCCTCATCACCCCACGGCCCTGGTCTTGGCCCCAGTTCTTCTGAGATGTGACTGACCACGCTTGCCGGCCACGCTGATGGCCTGTGTCTGTCTTGCAGTTTGTGGACGCTGACAACCTAATCACCAACCCCGACATGCTGAGTCTGCTCATCGCAGAGAACAAGACGGTGGTGGCGCCCATGCTGGACTCCCGGGCTGCCTACTCCAACTTCTGGTGTGGAATGACGTCCCAGGTAGGCTAGGACCTGGAAAGTGGGGGCCCGGCCAGAGTCACCTTGACAAGGCTGCCGAGGAGGGTCCAGGGCCATCTTCTCCAAACCGGAGGACCTGACCTGTCTGTGTGCAGGCAGGGGCAGGGGGGTGTTGGGGCCGAGCTCAGGCCTGGCTGGATCCAGAAGTGACCTCATCCTCAGGCTGCTCGGAGCCCACGCTGATTGGCTCCTCTCCAGCCTCCTCCCCTCTCCTGAGCCAGTTAGGAAGCCAGGGAAGTGCAAGGCTCTGATTGGCCAGGCTGGGTTGCATGTCCCACCCCCAGGGTTGAGTCTGGGGTTCCAGGCAAAGCTTGAAGAGGGGGAACCAGTGCTGCCCTGTGTCCTGCTGGATTTTCTTTGGGGTGCTGCTGGGGGAACCCCAGGCCTTGCATGTGCTAGGCCAGTGCTCACCACTGAGCACCCCAGCCATCTTTCTATTTCAGAGAACTGAGATTCATACAACGTAAATTCACTTTTTTTTTTTTTTTTTGCTGCACTGGGGTTTGAACTCAGGGCCTACATCTTGAGCCATTTTTTTGTGATGGGTGTTTTGCGATAGGGTCTCGAGAACTGTTTGCCCGGGTTGGCCTCGAACTGTGATCCTCCTGACCTCTGCCTCCTGAGTAGCTGGAATGACAGGCGCGAGCCACCGGTGCCCACTCAAATTTACCGTTTTCAAGTGAAGCACGTAGTGCTCTTATTTCTTCAAATAGCTGTGGAAATCTAAACGTGATTTGCCGACATGTACCCGGGGCACAGGAGAGAGGAGGCAGCCCCACGCTCAGATACATAAGCTTTCCTGAGGTCCCTCGGGCCTGTCACATTTCTGTGTGCCGGGGGCCCACGTTGGAGAGGCCTCTTCCCGTGCTTCATGGGGGTCTGCGGGTGGCCCTTTGGTGTCCGCCATGGCTCCTGGAGGCCCTGGGGTGCAGCCAGGCCGCCTCGGCTGCCCTAGACTTGTCCTCCCGGGTTCCCCTCCTCACAGGGTTACTACCGCCGCACGCCCGCCTACATCCCCATCCGCAAGCGGGAGCGCCGGGGCTGCTTCCCCGTGCCCATGGTGCACTCCACCTTCCTCATCGACCTGCGCAAGGCCGCCTCCCGGAGCCTGGCCTTCTACCCGCCGCACCCCGACTACACCTGGTCCTTTGACGACATCATCGTCTTCGCCTTCTCCTGTAAGCAGGCAGGTGAGGAGGAGCGGGGTCTGACGTCCCCAGGGGGCCACGCTGGGCAGGAACCAAATCAGTGGGATGCGGGGCCCGCTTCAGGAACGGCTGCATCCAGGCGCTCAGGGTGCCATTTGCCTCGGACCTGGTCGCGGACTGATCTCCATCCTGACGCTTTTCCGTCTTCTCCCAGTTTCTGTGGTTGAGCCCATCTTACTTTTTTATTGTTTTTATTTTTGGGGGTGATCCTCTTAATCTCAGCCTCCCAGGTAGCTGGGGTCACAGGCGTGGCCACCAGCACCCGACTGAGCCCGTGAGAATTGTAAGCATCGCCCCCCTTCTGGAGAGGATTCCTGAAACGCACTGGTACCCAGCTCTGCGTGGTACACTCGTCCAGACCTGTCAGCGTGACAGGACGATTTCAGCAGTGTACTTCCTACTCTGAAAATTACCTCCACAGGCAGAGAGGCCGCACGTGTTCCCCCAGCACAGCACAGGGGAGGCCCTGATTCGATCCCCCGCACCAAAAAAAAAAATTCTAAATTATTTCTGGAGTTTTCCACGAAACAGTTTCACAGTACAGTTCACTGTGGGCCACTGAAAACCCGAAGTGAAACCTGATGGGGTGGGGGTGGGGGGGAGCAGCTGGAATTAGGAATAAAACAATTTAAAGAAAAAGGGGGGGCCGTGCACTGTCTTGTGACACCCCGAAGCAGAAGTCACACTGGGCCACTTCTGTCTGTGGCCTCAAAGAAAGAACAATTTTTTTTGTTGACTTGGCAGCATTGGGGTTTGAACTCAGGGCTTGCTAGGCAGGTCTCTACCACCTGAACCACTCCACCAGCCAAGGAGCAATTCTTACATTTTTAAAATTGGTTGCAGTGAAAACTCAGAAGAACAGTATTTCGCAGCTGTGAACAGAGTTTGAGATTTATGTCTGAGTCCCCCAAACCCAGGCGTGGGGGTTCTGTGGTTGTACTTGGAGCCTGGGCCTCACTGTGCACCCAGGCTGCCTGCAACCTGTGATCCTGAGCCCTGGGGTCCCAGGTGTGACCACCAGCCAGGCCACCCCGGATCCGCTGTGGCCTGTGGCCGGGCTCCAGCGCCACCCGTCCAAGGTGGCCATCAGCGCCCGGCCTGACCGCCCCTGTTCGCTGGTGCAGAGGTGCAGATGTACGTGTGCAACAAGGAGGCGTACGGCTTCCTCCCCGTGCCGCTGCGCGCCCACAGCTCGCTCCAGGACGAGGCCGAGAGCTTCCTGCACGTGCAGCTGGAGGTCATGGGTGAGTCCTTCGCGCACCGGTCGCTTGTTGCGTTAGCCTCAGGAAATTCAGCTGGAAAGGCTCAGTTAAACACAGTTTTTCTTGGGGATCAGCCCCAGGACCTCCGTGGCCACCGAAGTCTGCGGGTGTCAGTCCCTTCCTTGATGTGGCCATGGTGTCTGGACGCACAGCCACTGTAGTCACCTCTGGACTCAGGACCCAGTGCAAGTGGCCGCTCCTCATTGCAGTTTTAACAAGGAGAGAACAGTCAGACCGGGCAGAGAAAGTGCAGGCCCGGAGCTGCCCGTCCGTCCTCTGTCATCTGCTGGACTCGTTATCTTTCCCCACAATGGCACCAGTGACATGCAAGGTGACCCACCCACGGTGGGGGCGCTGCCAGGCCTGAGTGTCCCGTTTTTCTTTTGTTTCGGGTTTTTTGTGGTGCTGGGGTTTGAACTCAGGGCCTTCACATTGAGCCCCTCCATCAGCCCTTTTTTGTGATGGGTTTTTTCAGGATAGGGTCTTGAGAACTATTTGCCCGGGCTGGTTTCAACTGCGATCTTCCTCATCTCTGCCACCTGAGTAGCAGGGACTACAGCCGTGAGCCACCAGTGCCTGGTGGTGTTTTTATTGGGGGTCTGTCCAGGTCCCACCCTGCATGGCAGACACTTTGCTCGAGCCACGCCTCTGGTCTGTATTTTTATTTTTATAATCACTGTGTCAGTCTTGGAACCAAAGAGGCTGCATTCAGAGGGTACCTCATGTCTCCATCTCCGCACCCCACCCTGTAAGGAGCCTGTTTCCCCACAAGGTCACACTGAGGTCCTGAGCATAGCTTTTTTTGGGGGGACAGTCCATCTGCGGCACCCTGGCTGATCTCTGGTATCTCAGTGAAACCCGAGTTTATTAGCACGCTTTGTGGTTGAGGAAAGGCAAGGCCCCCCAACCAGCTGACCATCAATTCTTTGTTCATGCTGTGAGCAGTTACTGACCACCCACTGTGTACCAAGCCCTGTGTTGGGCTGGGCCTCGCTAACAGACCCCATGTCCTCTGAAGGGGGCTCACGGAGGGGGAGACTTGGGGTCAGACCGAGAAGAGCAAGGCTGGGTTGGTGGAGTCCAGCAGAGATGCCCGACCCAGTCCAGGGTGGTGTGGGGACCCCCGTGTCCCCAAGGTGTCATAGCTGAGGGTGTAAGGGGGGGAGGAGGGTGTTCCAGGAGAAGCCAGAATACTACAGGGCCTGAGGTAGGTGTCTGTGGGGGACCAGCACTGTGGGGGACAGCGGGAATATGGGGAGGTGACCTCAAGCATCCCTGGCTTCTCTGCCCGCAGTGAAACACCCGCCCGTGGAGCTCTCCCGCTTCATCTCTGCGCCCACCAAGACCCCCGACAAGATGGGCTTCGACGAGGTGGGCTGGCTTCCCTGGGGGAGGTGGGGGCCGAGGACCCCCGTCCCAGGGCCCCAGCGAGGTGGCGTCCGTGTCCCGCAGGTCTTCATGATCAACCTGCAGAGGCGAAAGGACCGGCGGGAGCGCATGCTGCGCGCCCTGTGGGAACAGGAGATCAAGTGCCGCCTGGTGGACGCGGTGGACGGCAAGTGAGCGAGGGCCGGGGCGGGGCGGGGGGCGGGACGGGTGGGGGAGGGGCACAGGAGGGGACGGGGCGCAGACACCGCAGGGTGTGTGCGGACATGGAGGGGGCAGTTGTGCCTCAGTGTGCCCTGGCCAGCTGCACCCAGGCAGGCCTAGTACTGTGGGCTGGCGGCAGAAGGACGGTGGATGGGGTGCTCTTCTGACCCCTCTCCCCCCAGAGCCATGAACACCAGCCAGGTGGACGCCCTGGGTATCCAGATGCTGCCGGGCTACCGGGACCCGTACCACGGGCGGCCGCTCACCAAGGGCGAGCTCGGGTGCTTCCTCAGCCACTACAACATCTGGAAGGAGGTGGGCCCCTTGCTCTCGGCCAGCGGCGTGGGGACAGGTGGCCGCCCTGGTGGCTGCGGCGACTGAACCCTCTGGTTTGTCCCGAGCACCTGTCAGTGGACTGGGGAGCTCCGAGAGCAAGACAGGCACTGCCCGGCCTGGGCCTCAGTGTCCCCAGCTGACAGGGACACCCTCGGGCAGGCGTGGAGGATGGCAGGTTCACCAAGACGACCTGCAAATGGGAGCGGGAGGGAGACACAAAGTGGTGACTGTCGTGTGTCACGGGGCGCCCAGAGCTCCTGCGTGTCCTCAGCGCGTGGCGTGGGATGGTCATGGGGGCATTTGAGCCGCGGCCTGAGGCCGGGCAGGCCTGGCGGGGCGGGCAGCGGAGTCCAGGGCGCCGTGGAGGGCGGGGAGGCGTGCAGGGCTCAGCCAGCTTGGGGCCGGGTCCCCGTCACCTGCCGGCCATTCCCTCAGGTTGTGGCCCGTGGGCTGCAGAAATCCCTGGTGTTCGAGGACGACCTGCGCTTCGAGATCTTCTTCAAGAGGCGCCTGATGAACCTCATGCGGGACGTGGAGCGGGAGGGCCTGGACTGGGACCTCATGTGAGTGGGGCGCCGAGAGCCCCGGGCCCGGGCCTGGGGGCGTGGCCAGCGGGGTGGGCGTGGTCAGGGTTGGGGGCGTGGCCCTGCTCTGGGGTCAGGCCATCTTTCGCCCCCTCCCTCCTTCCCTCTTCCTGGCCTTGCCCCCGCCTCGGTTCTGTGGACCCGGCTGCTGACCGGTCGGGGCTGCACCCCTTCCTCCTGGCCGCGCCCCGCAGCCCCGCGAGCGCAGAGCAGCCTCAGCATCCCGGTGCCCCTGCTCCCCGCACCCCTAACTCCCCCTTGGCGCCCCAAACACGCAGCACCTGCTGCCCCGGGCCCGAAGGCCCAGCCGGAGCCGCGGCCCGCGCCGTGCCCACTGGGACGGGCAGGTGACCCCGATTGTACCCGCAGCTACGTGGGCCGCAAGCGCATGCAGGTGGAGCAGCCCGAGCAGGCCGTGCCCCGCGTGCGGAACCTGGTGCAGGCCGACTACTCGTACTGGACGCTGGCCTACGTGATCTCCCTGCAGGGCGCCCGCAAGCTGCTGGCCGCGGGGCCGCTGGCCAAGATGCTGCCGGTGGACGAGTTCCTGCCGGTCATGTTCGACAAGCACCCGGTGTAAGGGCGGCGCGCGGGCCGGGGCCGGGGAGCTGCGGGCCGGCCGGGTCCCCGTCCCGCGCTGACGCCGCCCGCCCCGCAGGTCCGAGTACAAAGCGCGCTTCTCCCCGCGCGACCTGCGCGCCTTCTCCGTGGAGCCGCTGCTCGTGTTCCCCACGCACTACACGGGGGGACGCTACGTGAGCGACACGGAGCTCGGTCGTGTGGAACGACGAGCGCGTGAAGACCGACTGGGACCGCGCCAAGTCCCACAAGATGCGGCGGCAGCAGGCGCTCAGCCGCGAGGCCGAGAACGCGGACGTGCTGCAGTCGCCGCTGGACAGCGCGGCCCGCGACGAGCTCTAGCCCCGCGCCCCGCGCCCCGCGCCCCGCTCAGCGCTCGCGCGCATTAATGCGGCGCCTACTGTTTAAGGGGTGGGCGGGGGTGGGAGCAGGGCCTCTGAGCGCTTAGTAGGTGCCTGCTGTGTGACAGGCACAGCGACTCCCGGTATGGCTCGATGACAGGTCCAGGTCCGAGCAGATCGAGTCGGGTTTTCGGGGCGCCCAGGCATCGTTAAGGGGTGACCAGTATTTATTGGGGTGCCTGACGTGGGGGGAGCTGAGCGGCACCGGAGCGGCCATGGGCCCCTCGCCCTTCACGTTGGGCACCTGCTGTGTGCCGGGTCGCACGCCGGGTGCCAGGACGCAGCAAGCGTTTGTTGAGCACCCACTGTGAGGGGGACCTGCTCGACCCCCAGTTGGGTTGAATGGCTGAACCCCTGCCTGCGTGCAGACCCCCCACACACACTGCCCGGAGGAAGGACACCGTCCCCCGCCTGGGGTCGCCGCCGGGTCCCAGTGGCCGCATGTCAGGTCCCCTGGGCCGGGGCGCAGGGCAGTGGGGCTGGGTCTCCCTTGCCTGCTCTGGCTGCATGTGCTTGGCGTCCCTGTCCGTACGTCTCAGGTGTGGGGTCTCCTGTATTGTCAGGTCCCTGTCGGGGGGAGGTCGTGTGTCTGGGGCTCTGTTGCTTTGGGGCGCTGTCCTTGCCCCGGGCAGGACGTTCCCAGCAGTGACCCCGGGGTCCTCGTGCCTTAAAGCCAAACCAGCGAGGACGACACCACCCACCCGCTCGCGGGGTCAGGTCTTGAATGACTTGCTTATTTTTTTATTAAATTCTGGTTTTTCACTGACATCTGAGGTCTGGCTTGCTGTCTGGAAGCCTTCCGCCTCCCTCAGCCCCAGCGGCTGCTCAAGGCCGGGCATGGAGGCTTACGCCTATAATCCCAGCCATGTGGGGCGGAGGCTCTGGGTGCAGACGACAGACCTGCGCAAACATGGAGGCCCTGCCTGGAAAATAAGTAAACCACAAAAGGCGGGGGCCTGGCTCAGTGGACAGAGCGACTGCCTGACTTCAGACCCAGGCGCCTGCAAAAACCAAACCAGAGCAAGACCAAAGCTCGAGGGTGCTTTTCACAAAGGTCACGGATGGTGCGGGGGGATGAGAACCCTCCCAGCAAAACCAGCCCCATCCCAGGCGGGCTCCTACGCTGCTGGTTAAACCCTCCCGGCCTCACCCACTTGCATGAGAAATACAGCAGGTCCCCAGTGTCCCCGGAACCGGCTCTAGGACCCCCCCCCCAAATCCCAAACTCCGCAAATGCTTGGTCACCTCTGGATTTAGAACCCTGCTACAAAATGACTGCTGGTGCGAGGCTGTCACAATGTGTCACTTAAGGAAATCGAAGACGTCTGTGAGGTCAACAAGCATGGACGCGGGTGTTTGTACCCCATTTTCCCCTCGTGGGTGGCTGGGCCCAGGATGGCCGCGCACAGGGGCAGGGGACTGTGAACCCATTAAACACGACCGTGGCTCCTGGCGATCCAGGGGAGCCCGGTGTTTCAGCGCGCGCTCGAGTGCGAGGAAATACTTAGGAGATTGCAGGGCGCAAAATCTCTCCTACAGAAGACCAATATCTGTCGAGAGAGAGGAGACCTGTGAGAGCGGAGCGAACCGCCGCGTGGGCCGCTCCCTCCAGGTCAGGTCAACCCAAACGCGGGCCACCGTCGCCCGTTGCGCGAGTGACTGGGCGCAAACTCGTCCCCACTTCTCCCGTGCACCCAATCTCTTTTTTTGAGATTGGGTCTACTCTCCTAGCCATGTAAGCTCCAGGGCCCACGTTATAGCGACGCCGCGCCCTCCGATAGCGCGTTCCCGCCACCACATGGTGAAAAGACACCATCGCGTAGGGAGGCACGAAATATGACGAGTCATGCAGGAGCCACTAGGCTGCAGTCATACACCGCTTATGGTGCTTCTAAATAAAGCGTAATGTCAAAGCAACTTACAGCAAGCCATGTCAAGTTATAATCTCCTGCACGGTGGCCGCCGCTGGCCCATCACGCATCCTTTTTCCCTGCTGCATACTATTCCTTCAACCCAGGCACAAGCGACAGCTCCCCAGGGCGTCAGTCGGGAGCGGAACTGCCGAGTTTGGGGAAAACCCCGAGGTTTGAGCCTCTTTTTGTCCCACCTTTAGCTCAGCTTAGGGAAGTGGGGTTTTCGCCTTTTAGCGACTTCTGGTGCAAGGCCCCCCCCCCACGGTCCCCGCGCTCGTGACGGGGACGCAAGGACACCAGGCACCCAGGCTGTGAGCGGTTCCTGTTTTTTTTTTAATGTCTGCTGTTAATAAAATGTTGTACAGAAACCAAAATGTCCGAGGTGCAAAACATCTCAACGCCATGCACGCGCGGCCTGGGTCACAGGCGTCGGACGACATTGGAAAAGGGAGACAACAGGGACAACAAAGCCAACGTCGCTCGCATTCGCAGTCACATGCTGAGGAAGGCGGGGCGGGTGCAGGGTCGGGGGTCTCACTCGACAGCGTCCGTTTTTCTTTTTCTTACAAAATAAAGGCGAAGAGGAAACGGAGGGGGCAGCGGGGACGGCTTTGGTCCTGAACGATTCTTAGGAGCCGCGAGGGGCGGGGGCGATCGGAGGCCCCGCCGACGAGGCCACGCCCACCGGCTGGGGGCGGGGCCTGCGGGCGGAAGTTTTTTGCATCTCTGATGGGAACGGGTTGGGGAGCTCGGGCCCAGATGCGGGGTGCGGACGGCGCCCCAGCCCCTGTCGCCCGCGGTGCCCGCGGCCCACGTCCCGGAGCGGCCCGTGGGGTGGCGCCTCCCACGGGCCCCGGCGTTGGCACGAGGCACGCGCACGTGGCGTGAGGTTGGACCACGGGAGGGGCGGGTGGAGAGGACCCGAGGGCCGGGGGCCGTGAGATGTTTCGACGGACGAGCAGGAGCTCTCGGGTGAGGACGCGAGGGCACTGCACAACCTCAGCCTGCAAGTCGCAGCAATTCACTCAACAAACGGCCCTGGAGCCGCAGCCCCGTCCGCCACCTTGGGCGAAGGTCGGTCTGCCGCGGGGACCCGCAGCTGGAGAACCGACCGTGCCTGGCTTCAGGGACACCGGACGCTGGCGGTCAGGAGGCCATGGCCACGGACCTGGATGCGCGGCGCCGGGGACCCCGGATCCTCCCGGAGGTCACCGCATCTACAGCGCCGCACCTCCCGCGGCCGTGCCCACCGGGCCGCTCTTCCCCCGCGTCCACTCCACGTGTGCCCGGCCGGGGCGGAACCTTCCCCGCAAGCCCGGAAACGCGAGCCGCCGCCCAGCCGGACACCCGACTTCGCTGAAGGGGAACGGGGCGCTGCCCGGCGTCGGAGGAGACGCTGGGACTCAAGCTGCGCGCGCCCGAGTTCTCACGCGGACGCGCGCACGCACAGCGCGCGCACGCAGCGCACACACACTCACGCAGCCGCGCGCCGGGGCTCTGCTGTCCCCTATCTGGGGAAAGGGCACCGCCCGGCTCTGGGGGCCCCGAGTCGCTGCTCTGGGTCAGGAGTGGGCGGAGGGCAGGGGTGTCGCTTGGCAACCAGAGGGGGCGCGGTGGGGGCCCGGGCTCCCCTGGTAGAAAACGGGGCGCCCTGGGAGATTAGCAGCCTGGGGGGAGCTGGGCAGGCGGGGTCAGCGACAGGGAAGGCCTCGAACCGGGAACCCGGCCTCAGTCTCGCCGTCCGTCCGTCCGTCCGTCCCACGGGCTGTGGGACTCCACGGCAAGGACTGGGTTGCTGAGGGGATGGGGGCCCGGAGCCGCCCGGCCCGTGGAGGCGCCCGAGGGCGCATGTGCTTTTGAAGTCCCGGCCTCCCGCCCAGTTTTTTTGCACGACGCCGGGAAGGACCCCAGTGGCCCCCGGGGCGTCACGGCGCCCGCCCGGCAGTTGGCTCTGGGACCCTCTATGGCTTTTCAGGGACATGGCCTCGAGAGATGTGGCTTCTTCCTCCCGCGCCCTGGGCGAGGCTCCGCCCACCGCGCCCCGCCCCGGGGCGGTCCCCACGCTAAGCCCCGCCCCGCCGCTAGGGCGCAGGCGCGGCACCGCCCTCCTCGGCGGAGCGCGTGTCCGACTTGAGCTTGACGAACTCCTTGGCCACCTCGTCGTTGCTGCGCTGCGACAGGATGCGCAGCACCGTGAGTCCAGTGTCGTCCATGTGGATGCGGCGGCCGAGCGGCAGCCAGCAGGCGGCCGTCCCGCGCTGGGCCAGCTCCCGCAGCTGCAGCACGGCCAGCCCCACCGTGCGGTCCTCGCGCGCGAAGCAGTAGTCCTTCACGCACACCTGCAGCTCGTAGCACTCCGGGCCCGCGTCCGCGCTCAGTGTGCTGCGGGAGGGGCGGGGCGTGAGCGGGCCCCGCCCCGCCACCCACGTGACCGCACTCCAAGGCCACGCCCCCTCCCCCTAGGACCCTCAGCTTCTGGTGCCGGTGTCCCGCGCTCCCTCGGTGCTGGGCCACGCCCTCATCCCCCCAGCTAGGCCGCCCCTGCCCGGTCCTCTTCCTAGCCAGCCCCGGCCCTCCACCCCCTCCAGACGACACCCCACACCCCCACCCCCACCGTCACTCACAAGGTCACGCCCTAGTCGCCCCAGGTGACACCCTACACTCACTACCTGCCTAGTTTATCCCACCCACCCAACAAGGCCCTCTCCACTGAACCTTGCCCCACCCCCCATGTCCAGGCCATGTGTCCACCCGGAAATACCAGGGCCTTTGCCCTCCGCTAGAGAGAAGCCATCTTCGCTGGGTGTGCTGCCACCCCACGCCCGATTCAAGCTGCACTGCCGAGCACACTCCTCCAAATGACCTCCCACTGTCCTGACCCTGCCCATCCCCCCCTCTGGCCCTCTTCACCTCCCTCTCGTGACACCCACTCAGGTGACCACTATGCTGTCCCCTCACTGGGGCACTGGCCCATCAGACATCTTTCCTGTCCCGCGGGTGGGCCCTTGGTCCATCTGCCCCCACCCCGCCCCGGCAAGGCTCCCACACTCACAACTGGAAGCTCTCGTTGTATTTGGGGGCCCAGCTGTTGTTCTTGGATTTGGTGGCAAATTTTCGTTTCTTGTCACTGAGCTGGGGCCCAATGATGTTGACCTCAATGAACGGCCGGAAGATGCCAGAAGTCTGCCACTTGAGGTCGTTGGCAGCTACAACTGTTGGGGGACACAGAGGGGAGGCCTGGTCAGGGCCACCCTGTATAACCAAAATAGACGTCTGAAAGACTACATTTCCCAGGATGCACGTCTAGCTAGGTGTAGCCATGTGACTGAGTTTTGGCCAATGAGCTGTGACAGGAAGTGATGCACAGAAGTTCGCAGTGGGATTTAAAAGGCAGGGAGCCCTGGGCCTTCCCCAGCCCCTACCTGCAATGCTGCCCAGGGCTCTGTAGAGTAGTGTTCAACAAAAGATGGCAGGGGCCCAGATACAAAAATCAATTATAAATTGGAAATATTAGTTAAGGCAGCCCAGTATGTGTTCCAGTTAACAAAATTAAAGCTAGCAAAAGGGATGGGCTCCTGGATGCAGCCATGCCTGAAGCTGGCTACCTCCAGACTTTGTTTTCTAAACAAGTACAAAACAAAAAAAATTTTTTTGGCTTAAGCCACTTTGAGCTTGGTTTCTGCCTTCAAACCTGGTAACCCCTGGTGGAGGCATGCCCCCTCCCATCTGAGGCCACTCACCTTTTACTGTGACCTTCTGCTCCCCGGTTCCGGGGTGGGTGAACAGCTCAACGTGGACAGAGACTTCACCCACAGGGTCCTCCACACCTGAGCCTGGGCAGGTAGGAGACGATGTCTGATGTGAACTCTGCTTTCCCGCCAAGAAGGACCTTGGTCACCTCCACCCACCATGTGCTGGCAGCACCAGGTCATGGGCCTGTCAGGGCTTTGAAGGGGCCTGAATGGTGGGTGCCCTTAGGAAGCCACAAACCCGGGTGTGGGCCTTCCACTGCCTTGCTGTGTGGCCTATGGACGATTTCTCAGCCTCTTTGAGCCTAATATTGCCTTCCTCGTCCTCACCTCACTGTGGGCCATGTCACATCGTGGCCTTCTCTTATCACTCACTATCTCGTCCCTGGGTCTTTTTCTTTCCCCCTGTACTTGGGCTTGAACTCCAGGCCTTCACCTTGAGCCACTCCACCAGCCCTATTTATTATTTGCCTGGGCTGACTTCGAACTGTAAGTCACCTGATCTCTACCTCCTGAGTAGCCAGGATGACAGGCGTGAGCCACCGGCGCCGTCTTCTCTTAACTGCGACAGTGACTTTCCAGATGTGTGTCCCACACAAAAAGGCTCCTCACCCACTTTGGTCACTTTCTCCTCCCATGACCCTGTGACCCGCAGCATAGCTCTGACACCTTCTCTGTCCTCTCTGCCCATGTGCAGGACACTGGACAACCCTACTGGCCGACGTCAAGACAACACAATCTGCCTGGACTCTTACAAGAGACCTCCCTATCTCTGTT